ACCTCAAACTGCAAAAGTGCCAGCCACGGTGTGTGCTAGGAGCTTAGTTAAGATGGAAAAGGCACTAGATGTTATCATAGCTATGTCTTTATAGGGAAAAAGGGCTCCTAGAGGTGCTACCTGGCACTTTGGGTCTTGGCCCACATCACCTTCTGGTAAGGAGCATGTTTGTCTTCTGTCCTTTACTGTAATGCCTGGGACAATTAACTTTGAGAAAAGGCTTATTTTGACTCACAGTTTTACAGGCTTCCGTCCATGCCCCTCGGCTCATTGTTTTGGGCTGTGGTACTGCAGAACCTGATGGCAGGAAGCCGCTCATCTCACCGTGAGTGGGAAGTGAGAGAGAGAGGCGGAAGGGTCAGAGTCCCAGCATCCCCTTTACCTCACACCTCCGCAGGACCCTGAGGCTTCCCTAGGCTCCGCCTCTTAAAGGTCCCACCACCTCCCCGTAGTGCCCTGGGCCGGGACGGAGCCTTTCATACGCAGGGGAAGCTAATCCAAACCATAGCAAGGGGGGACTCAGCTGAGAAAATTAACCCGAATTACCTGAGGCAGTCCAAGGTAAGGACAAGCTCAGCAAGGGATTGGAAGACGGCGTGCTGCTGGCTTGGACCAGGAGGAGGCGAGGCGGGCAGGCAGGGCGGCGGCGCAGGGGTCACAGGGTAAGGGCGGGTGCTTTGGAAGGGACACGGCCCTGCACTGATTTCAGCCTGGGAGACCTGTGTCGGACTTCTGTAAGATGGTAAGTCTGTGTTGTTTGAAACCACTCCCTCCACAATAATTTGTTAGGGCAGCGATAGAAAGCAGATAAGTAACTGGCCCAGGCTTCTTCTGAATCTCTTTCTGTCTGTAAGGACTCTGATTAGTAATAATAAACAAAGCCGATACCCCTATTAGTAAACGTGCGAACACTTTCCAACTGTTTCTGAAACAACCTCAGCACACTGTGCCTGACGCTCAATCCTGGAAATTGAGGTGAAGGCCCTCACACTCAGCTACATCCCCAGCCATTTGTATTTTTTAAAATTATTTTTATTTTGAGATCGGGTTTCTGAGTCACTGAGTCACACAGGCTGGGCCCAAACTTCCCGTCCTCCTGTCTCAGCCTCCCAGAGTGCTGGGGTTACAGGTGTGCACCACCAGCCCCAGCAAAATGTTGCATTTATAACTCAAAACTGATAGATAAAAGCTAGAGGGAAGGCCGGGGATACAGCTCAGTGGTATGAGGGCCTGCCTGGCAAGCGCAAGGTCCTGAGTTCAATTTCTGGTACCAAAATAAATAAATAAATAAAAGTGGGAGGGAGCCAGCTGTGGTGGCACATGCTTGCTATTCCAGCACTCTGAGAGGGTGAGGCAGAAAAATCACCAGTTCTAGGTCATCCTGGGCAATTTAGCAAGACTCTCGCTGCAAATATAATTTAGAAGGCTGTGATGTAGTTCAGTGGTAGAGCGCTTGCCTAGCATGTTCGGGACCTTGAGTTCTATTGCGTGTGCGTGCGTGCACATACACACACCCCTTTTCCACAGACTTCAAAATTCCAAGAGGTGTACCTGATTGTTGTGTGTATTATGCTCACTTCACACATGGGGAAGAGTGGAGTTTAGAGAGGTTGAGTAACTTTCCTCAGCTCACACAGCACATAAACAGCAAAATCAGGATTTGAACCCGGGTCAGGCCTCCATAACCATTGCGCTCAATTTCTGCACTACGGCGCCACCTCGCGATCGATCCCGGGCTCTTTCCCGCGTCCAGCTACCGGCGACACCTGCCCCATCGCCCCACCACCCCGAGAAGCAGCAGGGGCGCCTGGGGAGAGCGGTGCGGCCCAGGCGGTTCCTGACCGCGTCCTCCGCGGGCTTCCGGGCGAATTTCACCGGTGTCTGCTGTCTCCACCAGGCCCCCAGCGTCCCCCTGGCCTCGCTCACCGCTGCAACCCCGCCCCCGAGCCGAGTCGGGTTCCGAATTCGGGCTTCGTCCTGGCCGAGGATTGTCAGTCTGGACAGAGACTGCTGAAACAATGGCCCTCGCTGCCTGGCGTCGCCTGGCAGCTTGCAAGAAATGCGGCAACTTCGCAAATACTTCGCAAACTGTGTTCATCACAACCACCCGGAGGGCTTGTTAAGACTCAGATGACAACCCCACTTACTGTAATCCCTGCAGTTTGAGAGGGTGAGACAGGAGGATTACAAACACGAGTCCAACCTGAGCAATTAAGCTACTTAATGAGGCCTTGTCTCAAAAAAACAAAAAAGTTGGGGCTGGGGATATAGCTCAGCAGCACAGCGCTTGCCTGGCAAGCAGGAGGTCATGAGTTTGATACCCCGTACCAAAAAAAAAAAAAAAACAACCAAAAACCAGTTACAGCAGTTTTGAGGCCATACTATCCCTAAGAATTACAGCATGTGCTACATAATGACACTTTGGTCAACGGGGGACAGCGTGTTCAGTGGGGTCCCCTAAATTATGTTATCTAGTGACATTATAGTTATTTAAAATTTTATATTTATTTATTTATTTATTCATGGTACTAGGGATTGAATCCAGGATCTTTACACTGAGCTACATCCCAACCCTTTTAATTTTTTTTTTTTTTTACTTTGAGACAGGGTCTCGCTGAGTTACTCAGGCTGGACTCAAACTTGCCCATCCTCTGCCTCAGCTTCCCAGAGGACCGTGTGTGCTGCCACACCTGGGTTGTCGTCATTTTAGTTTGTGTAAGTATGCTGTGGCGTTTGCATGAGAACAAAAAATTACAGCAGTTTTTGGAATGTGTCCCCATTGTTAAATGGGGAGTGATTGTATGTAGAAATAATCCCATCTAGTGACATGTTCTGATGCAACTGTCATGAGTTCCAGGGCCCAGTGTGAACCTCCTTACTGATCTGAGCACCGTCCTGTATTTATGCAACCCACTTAAAATTTTCATTTAAATTATGGTGCCATCCATAATGCCGTTTAAGTTCAGGTTCCACCCTATCTGAGAAAAACATTTTCTCTTCCCCTGGCAATTTCAGTAGAAACAGTGTTCTACGGTCTGCTGGAAAATGTCGAATCAAGACTGTGTGACCTGAAAAGAGAATTTCTTATACAAATCAAAATATATCAGTGAAGATTTTTAAAAAACAAACAATCTTTCTTCCCACTGTATTCCCAGAATCCTTTGCAACGCCCTGTTAGAACTCTTTTCAGTGTTGGAGTTATTGATTTACCACCTGACTTTCTCAAGGGCTCACAGGTTCCTTAAGGGCAGAACATTCTTCAGTTTAAAGAAAAAAAAATTGTGCAAAGGGGCTATGTTTATTTTTCTGCTATTTGTCCAGGCTGTGTTAGTAAATAGAAGCTTATTTGGGGTGAGGATGCTGTGCCGGTGTTTGTGTGTTTGTGTGCTCATGTGCGTGAGTCAGAGGCGTGCAAGGGACCTTGCATGTGCGAGATCTTGTGGGGCAGAGGTTGCAGTGGATGAGGACTGAGGACTTGTCGGTGATGGTGCCTTTGTGATTCCATCGGGGCACACGCATTCCAGGAGGGTGCTTGAGACCGAGCTTCCCCGGGCTTGTGTGTCGAGCACGTGGCTGTGCTCACAGTGTGCGGGTCTTCAGAATTCACCAGTAAGGGGCTGGAGGTGTGGTGCAGTGGTAGAGCCCTTTCCTCATTTGCAGGAGGCTGTGGGTTCCACCCCAGTATCACCACCCCCAAAAGAGAAAGAAAAAAAGCTGAGCCCAGGTGAGCCCACCTGTAATCCCAGAAATTTGGGGGGCTGAGGCAAGAGGATTGCAATTTCAAGTCCAGCTTGGGCAATTTAGTAACTTAGTGAGACCTTCTCTTAAAATATAAATGAGATGAGATAAAATAAAATAAAATGGTCTATGGCTGTAGATCAATGCAAAGGCATTGAGTTCAAACCCAGCCCCACAAAAACAAAAACAAAAACAAAACAAATAAGCCTTCATCAGTGACCAACACGGTCCGACTGGCAGATGTGGGAAGGGGCAGCCCTGCTTCCACCTGTGTGTGCGGAATGCGCCCACGCTCTGGTCTCCACCCCTTCTATGTGACGCCTGCTGCGAACTGCGGCTCAGGTTCCTGCTCCTGGATCTGCCTTCTTTTCGGGGTCTCCCTGCCCTGTGTCTCAAGCTTCTGGACCCTCCCGGGAGCGGAGGTTGTAGGTGACTGTACCACATTGATGCGTCTCTACCCCGCGTCCCAGGGCTCTTGCATCATCAGGAGGCGGGGCTCTGCTGCCCTCGGGGCAAGGTGGCCTCTGGGAAATTAGCACCTGCAGATTAGATTTCACGGGGTCACGGGAAGACAGGAGAGTGAAGAGTCCAGGTCCAGTCTGGGCCAGGGTCAGGGTCACAGATTACTTTGAGACCAGTCACAAAACTACACGGAGCACCTGCCCCGTGCCAGGCTTCATGCGCTGCACCCTCACGTTTATGTTATTGTCTCTATTCACTGTTACAATTTAGGTATTTTTAAAAATAAAAATCCCATTGATTGTTCATGCTTTCTATTAGTTACAAGTTACCTTTTACATCCACCTCATTTCCTGTATCCCATTCAAGGGATAAAATTCACCTGCAAAAGGTCACTCGGCAAGCAGGCAGGGCCGGGGATAGAGCTCAGCGGCACAAGCGCCTGCTTAGCAAGCAGGCCATAGACTCAACATGTAAGCTGATTTCCAAGTGCCTCCAGCCTTTGGCTCCTGAGCGTCGCGCTACTGCGGCCCAGGTGGGAGACTCGGTGTGTAGAGGGGTGCCAGCAGGGAGCGGGGCTAGCTGAGGGACCACAGGAAGTATAAATTGTTGTTGTGATGCTGATATTTATTGAATCCTTACTAAGTGCCAGGCACTGTGCTAGGGGTTTTAATAATAATGACAATGGCAAACGCTCATATGGCAGTGAAGCTTGATTTTTTTGGCATCAGGAGCCAGTTTTATGGAAGACAATTCTTCCGGGGATGGGGGTGGTGGCGGGTTTGGGATGATTCAGATCTGTTACATTTACTGTGCACTTTATTTCTATCATCATTACATTGTAGTATATAATGAGATTATCAAATTCCCCATAAACGCAGAATCGGTGGGAGTCCTCAGTTTGTTTCCTGCATCTCGACGGTCCCACGGACGGAGGGGGTGATGGGAGACAGGGACGAACAAGTGTTGCTGATGTCCAGCCCACTTCATAATCTTACTGTGGTTGCTGCCCCTGTAGAAAACTCTGGTTCGCAAAGATAAGATGCTGGAAATGGAAGCAGATTTTTCAGTGCTTTTGTAGCAGTTTGGGGATATTCTGCTTTGAATTTAATAGGGAACGTATGGAGATTTGAAGTTGTTGCACACATACTTTTAAGGCCAGTCGTTTGTGAGCTTAAGCACTGATCCTCTTCTAGCCTGGACAAAGCGGATTCACGTGGCTTATTCACAAATGGATCGTGGGTCTATTCCTTCCCAGTGTGGGGTCCTTTGGGGTTGGGAAATAATGCTCATACTCTTTTGTTAGGTGAGATAGGAGATCATGGGAGAAAGAAGGCCCTGGCTCAGTGTCCTTCAAAATCTTTGCTCATGTTTAAAACTTGTCCAAAATCCCAATGTTCATTTGCTCATAATTCAAGTTTGGCTTTGAATGCAGCCACTCAATCTGCCAACTTGAACACAGTTATCCTATCCCCCAGAAGGGACAAATTGCATTCACTGAGCAGGTTGAATACATCACACAAGTCAACAGAATTTCAACCCATCCCGTGTCACTGAAATGTGCTGCCAGTGATGACTGTTTTTCTAAAAGAAATCTCTGAAGCAGCTCTCATAACTCAAAAACTCTGACCAGTGATCTACCTTTAAAAAGCTATCTCACTGGGGATATAGCTCAGAAGCATAAGCGCTTGCCTGGCAAGCACAAGGTCCGAGTTTGATTCTTGGTACCAAAAAATAAAATAAAATAAAGTAAAAATTTAAATGAAAATAAAAGGGTTTGCTGGGCATGGTGGCACATGCCTATAATCCCAGCACTCGGGAGGTTGAGGCAGGAGGATCATTGAGAGTTCAAGACAAGCCTGGGCTACAAAGTGAGCTCAAGGCCAGCCTGACCTGCACAGCAAGACCCTGTCTCAAAAATACAATAAATAAAATAAAATAAGATGCTATCTCACTGCTGTGTATAAGAAAAGATGTGTGTGCTCCGAACCCATCTCTTTGCCAAGGTACATGAACAGATGTGAGTTAAGGGCATGTGCTTTAATATGGTTTATAATTTTAATCACATCTTGCAAAACATTGTGAGGTTCAGGTGACAGTTTTTCAGCTAGCCAGCTTTTCTCTATGGATGACACAGTGTATATAGACTCACATTCAGAAGGGACCTCTTTGACCTGAACAGTGAAAGCAGGAAGTTGTCCAGTCAGGGCAGCCACTCCGTCTGTACCTCTACCAGTACGAAAATGACCAGTTCCGTTTTCCTGATATGTAATCATTCAAAGACTTGAATAGTGCTGCTGCTTTGGAGTTGGTTGGCAACAAAAGTGCACGTGACATACCCTCATGCACGTCTTCCTGAATAATATATTGCATAAAACAAGCACTGGTGCCTTGTTGTCAGCATGAGTAGTCTGGTCAACCTGGATTGCGTACCACAGTGATTCATTAACCCTGTCTAACAATTGTGGCTCAAAATCCTCTGGTACTTCAGAAGTTCGTCTAGTTTTGCTTCTAATTATCCTGTGTCACCTTTTGAACTGCAGCCTCTCCTAGGAGCTCGTGACAAATGTCCTAGCAGGCAGGATCAACTCTTCACCTATACGACAGGGCTTCTTAGCTTTAGCAATTTGGTTGGCCACTAAGAGTGATGTTCTCAGTGTAGACACATTTGATGAAGTGGTGGCCTTTGATAATTGCTTCTGTTCTTTGCTTTTTTTTTTTTTTTTTTTTGATCTTTTTGAGACAGGGTCTCTCTATGCAGTTCAAGCTGGCCTTGAGTTTACTTTGTAGCCCAGGCTGGCCTTGAACCTGCAGTGATCCTCCTGCTTCAGCCTCCTAAGTGCTGGGATTACAAGTGTGCACCCCCACGCCCAGTTGAACTCATTACATATTATGCAAATCAACACTATTTTTTTCAAGTCTGGATTTGGGTTCTTTTTGTTTTGTTTTGTTTAGCTTGCCACAAAAGTTTTTCAGTTTTATACAGCTCAACAGCTTTACCACTTATTTTGTAGGTTGAAGATTTCCACTCATGGTTAATAAAGCATCTAGGTAGGGCTGGGGCTGTAGCTCAGTGGGTAGGGCACTTGGCTAGTATATGTGAGGCTGTGGGTTTGATCCCTAGCACTGTGAAAAAAGAAAAACAAAGAGTTTTGGTTGGAGGTGGCAGCTTCCTTTTGCCTCCTTCTTCCCCTCTTAGGCCTATCCTTTAGTGTATGTCAGAGGGAGGAGATTTCTCCTCACCGGCTCATAAGACTCTTTAGATATTATAGCTATTAGCTCTGCTGTGCAGAATGCAACAAAATTTTTCCCATGTATTTTGTCTTGCAAAGGTTTTAAAAGTCTTATTCAAGGCTCCCGGGTGGTGGGGGAGCTGCAGACATAGCTCAGTGTGCAGCGCCTGCCTGCAAGCTCGAGGCCGAGTTCATTCCCGGTCCCCGCCCCTCCCCCTCAGAAGGCTGGGCATGGTGGTGCACACCTGTGTAGTTCCAGCGCTTGGGAGGCTGAGGTAGGAGGATCATGGTGAGGTCAAGGGCAGCCTGGGTTACATAGTGAGTTCAGGACCAGCCTGAACTTTACAGTGAGAACCTGCGTCAAACAAACAAATCTTATGCAAGTACTGTATGTAAGCCGCTGTGGTGGTGCTCGCTATTCCAGCAATCTAGGAGGCTGAGGCAAGAGGACTGTAAATCTGAGCCCAATCTGAACTCAGCCACTTAACAAGACCCTGTCTCAAAATTTAAGCAAGGGGAGGGGGACTTAGCTCAGTGCAAAGGTCTTAGTTTCAACTCCCAGTACCACAAAAGAAAAAAGAATGTCCTTAACTCCTGCCAGTTGACTTAACAACTTTCTTACAATGTTATGCAAATACGTCCTATGTCCGCCCTGGTTCATCCACGTGGGTCTCTCCCCCTCCCAGTCGTTATCTTGCAGCTTCTCCCTTCCCACAGTCAGGTGCATAAAAGCCCGGGATGCGCGGCTCTGCAGAGTCACCATGTCCCTGCTGTGTTCCCTGCTGCTGGCGCTAGCCCTGGCGGCCGCCCCCGGCGTCCAAGGAGCCTGCCCCGCGCCCGCCGACCTCAAGAGCGAGGACGGGAGCCGCACATGCGCCAAGCTCTACGACAAAAGCGACCCCTACTACGACAACTGCTGTGCTGGCTCCGTGCTGTCGGTGGGGCCGGACGCCGACCTACCCTACCTGCCCTCCGACTGGGCCAACACCGCTTCCTCCATCGTGGTTGCCCAGCGCTGCGAGCTCACCGTGTGGTCCCGCGCCGGCAAGGGCGGCAAATCGCGCAAATTCACGTCGGGTGCCTACCCGCGCCTGGAGGAGTTCCGCAAGGGCATCCTGGGGAACTGGTCCAACACCATCGCCGGGCTGTACTGCAGGTGCCTGGCGCCCCGCCCCTCACCCCCGCCCCAGCCCCCAGCCCTGCCACCCAAGCCCCTGATACTCAGACTCCAGAACCAGTCCTGGACACCCCATCTCAGAGTGCACCCCAAAACTCACCTCCTGTGCCTCAGCCACGCCCCCACCCCACTGCCCAGCCAGACTCAGAGGCTAACCACGCCCAGCCTCCATTCTGGGGCTCCCTCAGCATTTCCCACCTGCTCATGCATCCACAGCACCCTTCCCAAGGAGGGGTGCCTGGCTCCTGCTGGGGAGCCCATCAGCTCCCTTATCTTTGGAGCCCCAGGCCAAAAGCCAGCCCCACCTCACCCCAAATCATCATATCTGAAAGCTCCCGACCCCACTCTGGGACTCTCAGACACTAAAACTGACCCAGACCCCAAGATCACAGGCCCGATTCTAGGGTATCCAGTCTAGTCTGTCCTGCATGTTCCCCACCCATCCCCAACCCCCCAAAACCAGTCCCGGAGCACCCAGCCCCATCTCTTGGGGCCCCAGAGCTCAGCCTGCATTCATGGTCCCAAATTGCCAGATCCTGGCACCCCAGAGCCAGCTGCAGTACCCTCCATACCAACCCTAGCTGTGCCCCAAACCCCAAGAGCCCCTAGCCACAAACTTTCCTAGGCCTGGAATGTGAGCTCCTGAACTGGAAGCCCACCCACCCCTGCCACACCCGCCATCCCCTGCCTGCCACACCCTGGATCTCTGAGCATCTGAGCATCTCTGGCATCTCCTGGTGACACTTTCCGGTATGTTTCAGGTGCTACTGATGCCGTGAGGGTCCCGCCTCTGCAGTCCCCCCAAGTGCTGAGCCCTTCACCTGGCCTGGAGGCTGCTGGGCCCACAACCTGGGAGTAGAGAGCTTTCTACCTGCGTGCCACCCTGCCTTCCCTGCAATACAACCCTTGTGAAGTCATCTCCATTGTCATCTGCTCCTGCTTAGAACCCAAATCTACACAGGACGGGTGCGCCTCCGGGGAGGACAGGTGGTCAGGCCTGGGTCAGCTCATTCGTAGGACAGTGCTGGGGAGGGGGACACATCCACAAATCTGACCTGGAGCTCGGTGTGCACTGGCAGAAGGGCCGTGTGCGGCATGGGAGGGCATCGCCGGCTGGGTGCTAACTATCGAAATCTTGCCTGCTCTTCGGTAAGAGCTTTTTCCCAAGCTGTGCTGGCCTCCTGGAGGCTCCAGCGCCTCCCCTTCAAGCCTAGGACAACAGGGACACTTCTAGGACTAGGATACCATCCCAAGCTAGGGTCAGGGTCTCTTCAGTGATTTTTTTTTTAGACTAGGGTTTAAACTCAGGGCCTTAATCCCAAGGCACATTCCTGGTCTTTTTAAATTTTTATTTTGCGACAGGGTCTGACTAAATTGTGAGGCTATGGGACCGGGGATTTAGCTCAGCGGCACAGTGGCTGCCTGGAAAGTGTGAAGTCATGAGTTCGATTCCCGGTACAAAAAAAAAAAAATTGGTTTTAAATTGCCAGGCTAGGCTCGAATTTGCAGTCCTCCTACCTCAGCCTCCCACGAAGCTGGGACTACAGGCAGGTGTCAGCACAACGGGCTTGTTAAATACTTTTAATCCCCCTCCCTGACACGCAGAGGACACTTTGGTTCTAATCTTCACGTTTCTCTCCAGGTTGCGGTCTGTGTTCCCAGTACCCCCAGGGACGAGGACCCCTGAGGGCTATCTGGGGTCAGGGACTGTGGCAGAAGTAGAGAAAGAGAAGCAAGGGGTCCTGGGAAGGAAGGTGAGGGACAGATCCCGGGGAACAACAGATGGCTTGGAAGCAGGAGGGGATTGGGGAATCCCTGAGCGTTCAGGGACATGGGAGAAGAGCTAAGTGGGGCAGGCAAGAGGCTGTCCAGTAGTGGCGTGGGAAGAGTTCAGAGGTCAGGGTCGGTGTAAATGGTCCAGAGGTGCCCACGGGGTATGCACCGAGAGAAGTTATAAGGAGCAGAGGCCACAGAAGCACGCAGCATCCTCAGTATGTGCTTTCACGCAGGGAAGATTTACTGAGCACCTACTATCTGGCAAGCACTGAATTTGCAAGCAGTGGCCCCTGTGTCAGAGAACTGGGAGGACATGTGAAGAGAAGCCAAGGGCCAGCAAAATGAAAGGACCAGCGTTGGGACAGAGGTGCTGAGGGGTCAGGAAGGGGCCAGGGTGGTGCTGAGGGGATGCAATGGAGCTAAAGGGTTGGGGAGCGAGACACCAAGAGGCCAGAGAAGTGACAAAGGGACAGGGAGGAGCCAAGGACCAGGGCCTTAGAGGCTGAGCAGGTGCTACGGGGTCAGGGAGGCACAGGGGCGGCCTGCCTCACTCTCTGAGCTGCACCGACACAGATGAGTCGGTCACCCGCGTCCGCCGCAGCCCCCCGGGCTCCATGCGGTTCTTGGTCTTGTGCAGGAAGTGGATGAAGCGAACCCCGGGGCCATACTGGCGGAACACGTGCGACACCTGTGTTAGGAAGCGCGGGGTTAGGGAGGAGGACTTGTTAGGGACCCAGGCCTCCCCCACCCGGTGAGGTCCTAAGCAACCCTTGTCTCACCTGGATCCAGTGGCCGGGTCGGCCCTTCCCGGGGCTCCTGGGGGCCACGTGGTGCTGCGCGATGACGCTGCGGCGGTCCGCCGCCAGCAGCCAGACGTGCAGCTCATAGACGCACTGGTCCAGGCGGCTGTCCTCGTACCTGGAAGTGTGGCCCAGACCTCAGCGGCCACGCAGCCCACATCCCTGCCCCAGCCACTGGCCTGTCCCTCAGTCAGCACACAGCGGCCGGTGCCCAGGCAGCATGACCCGGGCTGGGTGGTGCTGGCAACACAGCAGTGACCCACATAGCCCCACGCCCTGTCCTCATGGGAGGCACAGTACAGAGGGAGGCAGACATGTCACCCAGCAGGGACTGCCAGGTACAGCCAGGGTGGCAGAGCAGAGGTGGGGGCAGGGTATGGCTCGCAGGGCACTGCAGCAAACGTGTCAGAGCTGGGGCAGGCAGGGGAGCTTCTTGATAAAGAGGAATTCCTCTGGAGAGCAGGAGGACAAGCATCCAGGGAGGAAGGAACAGCCTCAGCAAAGCCCAAAGATAGAAGAGGCCAGATTTGGTTCATGAAAGGCAGAAAGCAGGGGCCAGAGAGGAGGGGCAGGCTGGGCCTGCCGTGCCAAGGTCAGGGTGGGAATGCAGTTCCCAGGGGGGTGGGCCGAGGAGGCTCTAGGGGACCAGGTCGCGCACCAGTCCATGACAGTGACATCCGGCTGCTCGTCATCCAGCAGCTCCTCCCACAGGCCTTCAGCCAGGAGGTTCACACACTGCTGCTTCACTGTCCAGCTGCAAAAGAGGGTGGAGACATGGGGGGCATTGGCAGCCATGCTGGGGTCACCCAAGGGGCAGGTGATCTGATCACGGCGCTCTCATAGCGATGGCCACCATACCGCCCATGGGTGCCCCCTGTTCCCTCAGCGCCAATCAGAATCCTTTGTAGCAGGTAGGAAACTGAGGCTTAACGTGAGGTCTTTCGGAGCCAGGCATGGTGGTACACACCTATGATCCCGGCACCTTGGGAGGCTGAGGCAGGGGGATCCTTAATTCAAGCCCAGCCTGAGCAACTTAGTGACGTGTGACTTAGTGAGATCTTGTCTCAAAGTAAAAAATAAAAAAAGGGGTAGGGTTGTAACTCAGTGTAAAGGCCCTGGCTTCAATCCCCAGCACAGGACTGGGGGAGGCATGGGACTTGTCCAAGGTCATGCAGCAAAAAGTGGCAGAGCCAGGATCCAAATCCTGGCATGTGTGACTCCGCCACTGTCACACCCTCTCATCCACTGTGGATGGATGCAGGATCAGTGGCCTCGGGTGACTTCCCCTCCCAGAGAGAGAGGTTGAGAATAACAATAACCATCAGTTGCTATTTATTGGGCGCCTGACCTTGCTGGCCCCTATGCTTAAGTTTTGCAAGCATCTGTCTTATAGCTAATTCTGGTACACGGAGCAGGAAACATAGGTCCAGGGCGGCCAAGGTTGTTTCTGCAGCTCCACAGCAATCAGCCGGAGCAGGGACTCCACCGAGGTCCCACTCACCTGAGGTTCTGCTGGAGCGGCTCCGTCCCGATGTGCCATCCTCGGAAATTGCCTGGCGGGTGGAGGAGGAAGGGGTAGAGCGTTTCTTTGGGAGCAGCCCTCCCTGAGCGGGCGGCCACTGACCCATAACTTACCCAGAGCCTCCAGGGGTTGTCGGGTGGGACCGGTAGGGGGTGCCGGCTGGTAAATGTTGATGCCTGAAACGCAGAGGGCAGAGCGTTTCAGGCCAGCGCCTGGCACAAGCTCCCCTCTCCCTGACCAAGGTTAGGCGGGAGGGCGGCAGCCTGGGCCGGAGGATGCAAGAGTCAGGGCCCCTGAGGGGAGAGGGGTGAATATGTCCTGCGGGAAGAGGGACCATGCCCGGAGGGCTGCGGGGAGTCAGCGGGGCGCAGGGAAGGACCCGGAGAAAGAGGCAGAAATATAGGCAGGGAGAGGGAGAGCATTACAGGAGGCAGAGCGCCCAGGGAGGCACGGAGATGCCGTGACGAGACAGGGGAAAGGGGCATGCGGGACACAGATGCGGCGAGAACGCGACCCCAGGACGCAGAGGGCTGCAGAGACCTGAGGCACAGAGAGACCAAGAGACCGAGGCGGAGAAGCCAGCGGGGCGCGGGCGCACCCTCGGGGTTGGGCGAGCGCAGCAGGTTGCGGTAGAGCGGCCGCCGCAGCAGCAGCAGCTTCCAGGTGACCTTCGAGGGCAGCAGCAGGCTCCCGCCCAGCGGCCCCCACTCGTCCAGCAGCAGCTGCCGCGCGCCGGCCTCCGACGGCTCGGGCTGCGGGAGCTCGGGGGCCTCCGGGGTCGCGGGCGGCGGCGGGGACGGCGGCGACGGCGGCGAGCGCGGCGCAGGAGGCGGCTCCTGGGCGCTCTCGGGCCCGTCGGCCTCCATCCCGGCCCCGACGGCGGCTGGGTCCCTCGTCTCCTCCATGCCGAGGAGCGCGACTGCGCCCGCCCGGACGTGCGGCTCCGCGTTACCCGGGCGGGGAGGACCTGGGCCCGCTCCTCCCCCAGGACGCCGCGGCCTGAGGCTCCTCCCCCGGGCCGGCCCGGAGCCACCCACCGCCCACGGATCCGGGGACTGGGGGCCCCCGGCCTCCTCCCGCAGACCCGGGGTCCAGGACCTCCCGTTGTCCCCTCATTTTCCCAGCCTTCCTGCCCCAGTTTCCCGGGGCCAGCTGAGGACCCGCACACTGGCCCTGGGCGAAGGAGATGACAAATACGCTGATACCAGGGCTCCGCTCGCTAATGAGGCCTGTCCGCCTCGTTAAGATCAGGCAGCAGGTCTAGAAGGCTAATTAGTGAAAACCCTGCTTCCTGCCTGCTCACTCTGGGGGGAGCAGCGGTGGCAAGGGGTGCAGCCCCTGCCACTTCTCCTGTGCCCTCTCCGGGACACACCCCTGCCCGGGAAGCGAGGTGTGGAGATCGGCAAGACACGCGGCTAGCAGAGACGGAGGCGGAAGCTAGCAGTGGGGTCCTGGGGCTGGGGGAAGCAGAGAGAAGCAGCAGGCGTCGGGCGTCCTACCACCACCCCCGTCCGGGTCACCGGGAGTGTGGATGGGGCATGGCGGGAAGGAGGCGGTGTGGAGGAACCTGTAGGACCGGATGCCCGCGGGCCACTTCCCGGCCCGGGTAAGCGGGGGCAGGGTCCTCCCAGCCACTCCCGCGCTGTCTGCAGGGCGCTGGTCCAAGGGCTCTGGCGGGTTCCTGACCTAACAGATGAGCCGGGGCGACTATGGCTGCAGTTAGTACAGGAAGGAAAGGTGACAGCCAGCCTGTGAGCCTCCTGATGCCCCTAGCCCCGTGTCAGCCCCACGGTAACCCTGTGAGGGGTACAGCTGTGATCCCCACTTTACAGATGAGGAAACAGAGGCCGCCTCCCAGGCCTGATCCCCTACACTTCCACAGGTACTGTCCACCCTGCCTTCCCTGGAGACGGGAGCCTGACTGTCAGGACACTGGGAACAGAGGTCACCCTGCAGCACTGTCACTGCCATGACTGGGGGCTGCTGGGTGCCAGGCGCCGTCCCCAGGCCCGTAGGTTGGGTAGTTCATTGGTGTCTTGAACTCATCAACCTTTAACACCCCCGCAGAAGCGGGACCTGGAAATAGGGCCTCTGTTTATGGATCCAGGGACTGAGGCAAGGAAGGTGAGATGGCCTGCCTCGGGAAAGGTGGGGAGTCACCAGGACCCGGGGAGAGTGGGGACCCCTGGCAAGGGACAACCAACTCATCCAAATGCCAGGCGGAGCCTCCTGACCGGCACATGCCCAGAAGTTCCCAGGGAAACTGGCAGAGCACACCACACACCTATGACCTGGCCACCACAGCCCACACCCTGTCCCGCTGCCCACCCGGCTGCCCCGGCCCTGTCACCCTCACCGTCATCGGCATGGGGGAGGAGGAGAGGTGTCTGGCCAGCGAGGTCAGAATCCAGAGCTGGGTGTGGCTTGCGATGGAAGAGCAAGAGGAGACGGAAGTGCACCAGAGTCTCTGGCAGGGTTGGGGCCTCTCTCCTGCCTGCCCTGGCCTGGCTGTGGTTTGCACGTCATCTCCTTCCGGCTGCCTCACCTTGCTGTACTGAAAGCCAAACCCGACCACTGAAACCCTCCATGGCTCCCTAGTTCCCTCCAGAGAAAATTTCAGCCCTTTGGTTGGCATTCAAGGCCCTGGATGCCTGGCCCCTACCCCTGTGACCTGTTCCCTCCTGTCTTAGGGCTTTGCGCATGACGTTCTCTCTAGCTGGGATGTCCTTGTGTCTCACCTGTACCCCCATACTTGTGGTTCCCAAGCATTAGGGTATGTCAGCGTCACTCAGGGAGCTTATTAAAAATGCAGATTCCGAGTCCCACCCCAGGAGTCTGGCTACAGGCTGTGCCCCTGAAGGGAGAGCAGGACTCCAGCTCTTCCTCTTTTGCTCTTCACTTCCCAGCCATGAGCTGAGCAGCTTTGCTCTGATACACACTCTTCCCACCATGTGCTGTCGCCTTGACACAGACCCCTTGCTTTGGATGGGCCAGTCCACCATGGCCTGAACCCAGGAGCCAAAATAAACCTTCCTTCTTTTTAAGCTTATTATCTGAGGCATTTTGTTACAGTCCTGGGAAGCTGACTAACACACTTCACTGTGTGAAGCGGTGCTCAGTAAACTAGCCAGGTGGAGCCTCCCCAACCTGGAAGTGCCCAGGTGCACAGCTATAATCATAGCCCTTGTGAGGCTAAGGCTGGAGGATGGAGAATTTGAGGCCAGCCTGGTCTACAAAGTGAGATGCTATCTCAAAAAAAGGGAAGGAGGAGGAGAAGAAGTAGAAGAAGATGGGGGGAAGAACAGGAAGTGGAAGAGGGGGAGGGAGAGGGAAAGAGAAGGAAGGAGGGAGGGAAGGAAGGGTAAGCAGAGGGGAAGGGAGGGAACAAACTGTCCAAATATAAAACATGCATGTTTTATATGCCCTAAAAATCACTACTCAGAGTGACAAAAGCCAGGCCAAAAAAGAAGATAACTTGCCGGGGATACAGCTGGCAAGCACGAGGTCATGAATTTGATTCCTGGTAAAAAAAAAAAAAAAAAAAAAAATGATAACCTGCCATGTGATTTATACAAAATTCTGGAGCAGGTCAGGTTAATCTCGAATCAAAGAAAGCAGGGAAGTGGTTGCCGAGGGCTGGGGGTTAATGGCGCAGGGACACCAGAGTGAGCTTTCAGGGATATTGAGAAAATTCTGTCTTCACTGTCAAGGTCATTCTGTGAGCATAGATATTTATTAAAACTCATCTCCCCATATATATCTTTTTGGTTTTTTGAGACAGTCCTGCAGCAACGTACCTAGGTCAGAGTGGCCTTGAACTCATTGTGATTCTCCTGTCTCAGCCTCCCAAGAACTGGGATTACTGGTGTGTGCCTTCTGGCCCTGGCTCTCGCTGCATTTTATTTTATTTTTGTTTTGTTTTTTTTTCCAGTACCGGGAATTGAACTCATGACCTTGCTCTTGTCAGGCAGGCGCTGTGCCACTGAGCTAAATCCCCAGCCCCTTTGCTGAATGTTTTAAATGGGTACATTTTGTTGTGGGTAAATTGCACCTCGATAAGAAGCAAACCAAAAAGAACAGGACAGTTTTCTCTACATTCTAATAAGGGAATGCATGTAAGTCAAGTAAGTAAACAAAGCAAGCTTTGGACTGTGGAGCTCACGTTGCTGCTGTTTGTGACATGACAATATATTTAATACAGCTTTGTCAGGTTCTCAGGAAGGTGGCCTGTATTCTGCTTTCTGTCACTGTAACAGACACCTGAGACAATCAGCAGGTGAGACCAGGTTGCTGTGCCCTGCAGCTTCGGAGCTTTCAGCCCATGGCCGGCTGTCCTTGCTGCCCCAGGCCTGTGGTGGCACATTGTGGCGGTCACCTTATTGCCCTGGTCACCTCAGGAAGAAAAGAAAGGGTGGGCCCCACTGTCCCTGACTCCCGAAACATGCCCCCAACAACCTAGGACCTCCCAGTAGGCTCCACCCCTTCAAAATAGCACCGACAGAGAGAAAATGGCTTTTTTGCTGGGCGTGGTGGTGCACACCTGTAATCCCAACAGGAGGCTGAGGCAGGAGGATCACAGTGAGTTCAAGTCCAGCCTGGACTACATGGTGAGTCCAAAGCCAACCTGAGGCCGGGAGTGGTGGCACATGCCTGTAATCCCAGCACTCGGGAGGCTGAGGCAGGAGGATCGTTGCAAGTTTGAGACCAGCCTGGGCTACAAAGTGAGCTCAAGGCCAGCCTGAACTGCAGAGCGAGACCTTGTCTCAAAAAGACCAGAAAAAAAAAAAAAACACCCACAAAGAAAGAAAGAAAGAAAAATAAAGGGAAAGAAAATGACTTTTTATTCTGTGCTTTGTATGTTTGGGGATTTGGACCACTTAGTGCATTACTGATTTTAGAAAAAAGTGGATTATGTTTTGTTTTGTTTTGTCTCTTTGAGACAGGATCTCTCTATGCAGTTCAGGCTGGCCTTGAGCTCACTTTGTAGCTCAGGCTGGTCTCAAACTTGCAAAGATCCTCCTGCCTCAGCCTCCTGAGTGCTGGGAATATAGTCGTGTGCCATCAAGCCTGGCTTGTTTTGGTTTTTGAGGTAGGGTTTTGGTATGTAGTCCAGACTGGCCTTAAACTCATGGTGATCCTCCTGCCTCAGCTTCCCAAATACTGACATTACAGGTATGTGCCACCATGCCCAGCAAACAATTATTTTTGTAAAGGAGACAAAGATCCATAGCTTCCCGTATGCTTGCATCCTTGCTCCCCTGCATCTTTTATTTGGCATTTTGAGTCAGGGTTTGCCTGTGTAACCCAGGCTGGCCTTAAACTTGGGATCCTCCTGCAACAGCCTCCTCAGTATCTGGGATTACAAATGTGTGGCCCACATCCAGCTTTTCCCATATCCTTTTTTTGTCTTTTTGAGACAGGGTCTCACTATGCAGTTCAGGCTGGCCTTGAGCTCACTTTGTAGCCCAGGCTGGTCTCGAACTCCCAAGGATGCCCCTGCCTCAGCCTCCCAAGCGCTGGGATTACAGGTGTGCATCACCATGCCCGGCAGCCCATATCCTTTCAACAAATACTCATGGATGGTCCTCAGTGGACATTGGGATGTAACAGATTCAATTCCTGTCCCCGTGGGTTTGCACCCTGTTGGGGAGGGTGGACTTTAGTCATCAGGTAACTCAGCACCAGTGCTGTGAAGATGAGGAACAGGCTGTGAGGATGGAGCAGAGCAGGAGAAGCCTTCCCTAGTAGGGGCGTCCAGGGAGGGCGTCTTGGAGGAGGTGGCACTGGAGCAGACACGGAGGGGCTGGGCAGGGGAAGCACATGTCCAGGCAGAGGAAATGGCAAGTGCAAAGGCCCTGAGGTGAGACCGAGCTTGGTGTGTTTGGATGCCAGCAGGAAGGTCGGTGTGGAGCAGAGGGGATGAAGCGGGTAAGATCAGAGGCATCTGGAGGGAAATCAAGTATTGCACAGCAGATGTGAATTGGGGACATTCATAGGGACAATGCTGGAGGTCAGAAAGGTCAGGGCTGAGACCCAAATCTAGGAAGCGCCAGGCTGTTGTTTTGTGAGTGACAAGGTGACATAATACAAATCACAACGATGCGGTCGTGGAGCACTTACCACACCAGGCCCTGTGCTGCGGGCTCTGAGGGTCTTACTCAGACACACCCTCGAAGACAGGAATTACGTTAAACCTGCTTTACAGATGTGGAAATCGAGGCACGGAGAGGTGTGTGACTTGCCCAAGGTCATGCAGCCTGGAAGTGGCAGGGCTAAGATTTGAGGCCCCAGTCTGCCAACAAGTGTCCCCAGGGAGGGCGGCTCAGGTTAGGGGCTCTCTCTTCTTCAGCGCTTCCTGGCACCAGCAGGGCCATGCTGCTAGGGGAGGGGAGGGAGGGACCTTTCCTTGCCTCTCCCTACTTCCGGGGGCTGCTCCTCCCTCATCGGCTCCTGGCTGTGTCCTTCCTGTCTCTGCCTCTGGCCCCATTGCCTTTTCCCTCAAATTTTCCTCTGCCTTTTTCTTTCCAGTACTGGGGATTAAACCCAGGGCCTTCTCAGGGAGCTACATCCTCACGCATCTCCTCCCTTCCATTTTCAAACATTTTTTGAGACAGGGTCTGGCTAAGTCACTGAATTGCTTTGGCTGGGCTTGAATTTGTTATCCTCCTGCCTCAGTCTCCCAAAGTGCTGGGATTACAGGTACATGCACTGCACTTGGCAGTAATTGCATTTCTAATAACTGCCTGGATTTAACAACTCCCAATCATATCATGTGTGTCCTAGGCAAAAGATGTTCCTTCTCCCAGCCTGTTTCCCTCAGGAGAGGGCCTGTGTGGCCCTCATGCCTTCTCGAGGTGGCCCCAAGCTCCATGCTCTTCCATGTGCTCACAGTATGCCATAGTGGTGTTGGTCCTCCAGCCTTCAACCTCCCTTCCCACCCCAGGGCCGTTGCACATGCAGCACTGTGTGGGAAAGCGTCCCTCCCTTTGGCTGATTCCAGGGTCTCCTTCAACTCCACTCAAATGTCGCCTGCTCATGATGTTCACGCCTTTCTGGCTTTTTCCCACCTGAGGATGCATCTAGTCGATCGTTCTCTCTTGGTCCTTCCCAGCCCAGGTCATTTCCCACGCTGCTCTGCGGTCACCACACCCTGTCCCTGCTTTCCTGCGCTTCCTGTCTCGGTAAGCATGTGTGAGTTGGGGATGCACTTGCCTGGTCACCGTGTGGCTCATCCCGCCAGAATGGCAGCCTCAACAGGGCAGGGCTGTGGGCAGGGCTATTTCCTGTTTGTCTCCAGCTCGGGCTGACAAGGACAGTGGCTCTGCTTGCTGGGCCGGGCCGGCTGCAAGGCGGGAGGAAGTCACTGTCCTGCTGAGGAGCCTCGCCCGGCGCCCACTGCAACGCCGGTTACTCCAGGGCCCAGCGTGCGCCGGGGCCGGGTGCTGCTACAGGCACCGCGCAAGGGGAGCAGATCCTGGGGCTGCCCGGGGGCAACAGAGAGTGGGCGGTGCAACAGGTAAGGAGAAAGGCGGGGTGCAGGCTCTTTGGCGGGGAGCCGGGTGGCCAGCCAGCTCCGCCCTGCAGGGGGCGACAGAGAGGCAGGAATGAGGCTGGGTAGGAGAAAGCGAGGCGGGAGGGATTCAGTGGCGGCCAGTTCCACGCGGACAGCCTGCAAAGAGAGAAACAGGAAGGCAGAAATCAGAAAGGTGGGGACTGAGAGGCCGAGGCACAGGGAGATCCAGAGACTGGAGTGGGGCTGGCCAGAGCCAGAGAAGGATCTAGAGGCTCCGAGGTACGCAGAAGGCATCACTTTTGGGGACCCAGCCTTCGGAAGGGAGCAGGGGACATTCGGTAAATTCGCCCATGTGCCAGCGTGCCATGTGGAGCACTCTTGTAAGGCTGTGCAGAGCAGCCGGCAGGGCTGGGGGTGTGGCTCCGGGGCAGAGTGCTTACTCAGCATGTGGGCGTCCCGGGTTCTGTCCAGAGTGCTTACTTAGCATGTGCCCAGCACAGCAGAAACCGAGGCCAACAACTCGAGCTCCCTGGGTGTCATCAATGGGACTGCTTCATCTGCTCAGTGGAATAATACGCAGTCATCAACAGGAGCAATTTTTTTGTGTGTAGTAATAGACAGCCGTTCACAGGAGCGTTCTGCATTTTTGGTACCAACGAGGAATGAACATCAAGATACACTGTTAGGGCTGGGGATGTAGCTCAGTGGCACAGCACCCACCTGGCAAGTGCAAGGCTATGAGTTAGATTTTTAGCACCAGAAAAAAAAAAAAGATATGCTGTTAGTGACCTGCACCAGGCTGGGTACGTTGTGCTAATTTGTGCAAGGCAGAACAGAGGTCTGCTCGTGGGTGTTGAGGTACTTGCTGGAATGTGCCCACTTTTCTGTAGAAGTAGTCTTCTGCAGAGGGGAACAGGGAGACTGGGGTGGGGAGGGGGGGTCAGAGGTTGATTTTTCACTCTTCCCCTTTGCTGTCTTCTACACCTGTGTCACAGGCCTGGGTTACCCGTTCAAACAACGAACCAGCTTAAACTAGAGGAAACAGTGACAGAGACAGAGCAAGTCAGAGACAAAGGTGTAGGAAAGACGAGGGAGGAGAGAGGAAGGGAGAAAGGAGTTTAACTTTTATTTTTCAGTGCTGGGGATTGAACCCAGGGCCATCACACTGAGCTGTACCCTTGGCTCCTTTTATTTTTGAGACAGGGTCTCACTAAGTCACTAAGTTGCCTAGGCTGGCCTCCAACTTGTGATCCTCCTGCCTCAGCCTCCCAGAGTGCAGAGATGACAGAGGTGTGCCACTGCACCCCCTGAATTTAACGTTGTTGAATGCAGCGGTTCCTAAACTCCTGAAGATGACTTTGGTCTTCTGGGAAAAGGCTCTGAGGGGTCTCCACCTCCCAAACCTGCCCCGTCTTGTCCCCCAGCCCCAAGGCCCCTCAACCCAATTCTCCTTGTCAGGCCTGCCCCAGAAGGTCACCCCACCCCTTTCCTGATCCTGCTGACTGGCCTCCTGGGAGGAGCCGGAAGGGCATTTTCCTGTCAGATGTGACCCTCTCATTGGCATGGTGAAGGGAGCCCTAGCCGGTGGTTCAGTATGGTGATTGCCTGCAGGAACCCGGACCACATGCCTGGGTTCAAATCCAGCCTCTGCTACCTTTCTGCCATCTTGTGCTCTCAGTCTTTCATCTGTGAAACAGGACAATGGAGGGGCATCCCTGAAGGGCTGCTCAGATCAAGTTTTCTAGGGTTTGTTGCTGGGGATGGAACCCTGGACTTTGTACATGCTAGGCAAGCGCTCTACCACTCAGCTACATCCTTGGCTCTTTATGTACTGAGACAGGTCTCCCTAAGTTGCTGATTTGTCCAAGCTGACCTTGAACTTGAGATCCTTTTGCTCAGCTTCCCTAGTAGCTGGGATTACAGGAATACAACACCATAACCTGGAGTTACATGGATATATGTATATATATCCATTTCCCAGATGAGACTTGAACTTGTGATCCTCCTGCCTCAGCCTTCCCAGTAGGTGGGACCACAGATATGCACCACCATGCCCAGCTTCACCATCAGAGTTTTGACCCAGTCAGAGCAATGCTGGCCAGGAGAGCTGAGACCATGGGAATGTGCTGCATCTGTAGCGTCGGCTGGTAGCCTCTGGCTGCGTGTGGCAATTGAGCCGCAAATGCGCTAGTCCCCTGGTGCACTGGAGCTACTGCATGCTTAATTTTATTTCACTTTAAAATTAAATAGCTTCCCTCAGCCTCCTTCCTACCCAACCGGGGCACCTTGGTGACTTAGTGAGACCCTGTCTCAAAATGAAAAGGGCTTGGGGATGTGGCTCAGTGCAAAGGCTGTGAACGCAGTTCAGTTTCACAACAAAAACTGGCAGAGTGTATACCGTGAGGAGAGAAATAAATATGAAGTCTTTTTAATGTTGGGCAGTTTCTCCCCGGGACAGTGCTATATTTATTTTCTGCTACTTTTCCTGTCCTTGTTCTCCGGCTTTCATTGAGTCTTCTTGGCAGACTCACTGACCAAACAGTAATAAAATAAAACTTGGACGAGTGACTTTACAAAAAAAGAAAAATTAAAATTAAATAGCCACGTGTGGCTGGTGGCTCCCGCCCTGGGCAGCAGAGGCCTAGGCTGCCTTTTTGTTTTGTAGTGTTAGGTAGACACTCACTTTCCTTCTGTCCATACAATGGGCCAGTTTCTGCAGCGCTGTTATTACCAGCCCCTTCCCTGTGCTGACTCGTGGGGCAACATCTTTTGCACACAAAGCTCCTGTGCACATCTGCTCGGCCTCTGGGCTCTCTGCGGTATCATTAAACCAAACGAAGCCAGCAGATGCACAGGGGTGGAGAATCACGATTTCATTAGCGATGGCATTAGTGTGAGACCCACAGCTGCTCAAAATAGACTACTGCCAGGCGTTGTGGCACACGCCTGTAATCCCAGTACTCGGGAGGCTGAGGCAGGAGGATCACTGCGAGTTCAAGGCCAGCCTGGGCTGCACAATGACTTCAGGGCCAGCCTGAACTGCATAGTGAAACCCTGTCTCAAAAAGATAAAAAGACCAAAACTCGAAACAGCTACTACATTTCTCAACCTGCCTTGCCTCTGGGCCGCTGTGCGCCAAAGCTGGCGGGGGAATGGTGGTCATTTCTCACCACGCGGGAGGCCAGGGTCCAGGATGAAGGCACAAGGTGGCAGGACATTGGGATCCTGAGAACTCAAAGGGCTGAATCCGGGAGGCTTGGGTGTTCTACACAGAACCCTTGTGGACTCCGGAGGTTCCCACCCTGGAGCGGGCATCAGAATTCCCTGAAGGTGCTAGGTGTGGTGGTGCACGCTGTCTGTATCTCAGCACTCAGAAGGCTAAGGATCATGAGTCCAAGGCCAGTTTGAAGTACATCAGCCCCATCTCAAAAAAAAAGATGCAATCCCAGCACTCAGAGGCTGAGGCAGGAGGACTGCCGTGAATTCAAAGCCAGCCTGGGCCACATAGTGAGTTCAAGGCTGGCCTGAACTACATAGCAAGATCCTGTCCAAACAAATAAACAAAGAAAAAGAATCCCCCAGAGTTGGTCAAATACAGGTTTCTGGGCCGCACCCGGTGTCTGATTCAGCCTGGGGTGTGGCCCAGGAATTTGTACTTCCAGCAAGTCCTCTGAGCTGTGCCTGGTCTGGGAACACTTCGGGAGCCACTGGTCCGACCTGTTTCAATTGATCATTTGGTTCTCTGTAAACATCCCTGTGGTTACAAGTTAGCACGGCCGCCTCCCCTGCCTGAACTCGGCACTCCCGTCCAGCCGAGTTACATCTGCACAGAGCGAGTCCCGAGTCCCGAGTGCAGGGTCGGCACAGCATATGAGGTGCCAGACAGCCCATTCTGCTCAGCGGGGGAGGTCGAGAAGCCTCTTTGTGGAGCCGCCCACCAGGGGGTCAGGAAGGCTCTGCCGGGGGACACTTGAAGCTCGGCAGCAGGTGGAGCTGTGCCGCTCCGGCCTCCCCAGAGGCGAGGGTAGCTTTCCAGGGCCCGGGCAGCGCCACTGACCCCTTGTCCTCCCAGCCATGTGGGTGACCACAGCCTCCGCCGGACTGCCGGGGAACTGGCCCTGTCTGGCTCCTCCAGCCTTGCTGCCACTGCAGAACCCACCCAGCCCTGCAGTTTCACCTCACTGCACCCCGCCCCCGAACACTTAGAGGGCTGTGCCCCTGTTTTGGTGACCCTTCTGCACAGGGGACAGCAGCTGGAGGCAGTGCTGAGGGAGACAGCTCCACAGGTTCCCACCACACCGAGAACCACTCCTTTCCACTGCGGTGACAGCCACTGGAGGTGCCCAAGCCAGCAGTCACCACGGAGTGAGACGTTGGACAGGCGGGCGACTCCGTCCCCGAGCCGCACGCTAGCTGGGAGCACGGGTACCGTCCAGGGCAGTGCTCGCGCCCAGCAGGGTCAGGGGGTGCTCGGACATCAGCCGCTGGGCTCTGGGCTGTCCGGTCGCTTAGTGGGCCCACGGCCACGGCAGCGCCATTCTTGCCCTATTTTCTGGATGACTCATACAGTGTAGGAATGACCTGGTCCTTCATGTTTGGTAGATGTCTTTATAAACATGCTCAAACCACAGGCTTCTGGGTTTTTTTTGAGGGTTATAGGTGGGTGGGTTTTCTATTCTTTTGCCTATATTGCCATACCTGTATCTATCTCCGCAGCTGGGGACAGAACCCATGTCCTTACACATGCTAGGAAAGTGCTCTACAGTTATACCTCCAGTCCTTTTTTACGTTTTGTAATAGGGTCTTGCTAAACTGCCCAGGCTGGGCTCCAACTTGAGGTCCTCCTGCCTCAGCATCCTGAGTATCTAGGACCACAGGCATGTGCCAACACATCCAGCAATTTTGACCTATTTCTTTGCAGAAATGAATCCATTTCACCTGTGTGTGAGACACAGTTTCTGCACTGCTGGGTCTGAACCTATTTGTCCCACTTGGCAGAGCACTGCCAGTCTTGGCTCTCGCAGACATCGGGACCAGCGAAGGTGGAGGAGTGCAGCTGGATGAACCTGCAGCTGGGCCTGGACCCCTCACTGCTCAGCAGCAGCCGGACTGTGGTCCCAGCACCAGCGTGGCCAGCGGGCCCTGGAGGAAGAGGTCTGCGTCGCATCCTCCCACCCGTCTGCCAGCTCCTGCGTGCCAGAGGAGATGAGAGGCGAGTACGGGCACCTCCACGCCAGCCCACGCCCGCCTTGGCCTAGAGGACATCCCCAGCTCACAGGACCTGAGGCAGCTGCTCCAGTCCTTCAGCCTCAGTGCCCCAAAGAGCCGTCTAACTGCCCACTGACCAATCTGCCAGCGGCCAGTTTACCAATGCCCGCTCAGCACGGCTCAGCTCCTGCCGCTGAACGCGTTCAAGACAAGCTACGGTTCCCGGAAACCCCAACCTGGCAACTGCGGCAGCGGCTGCTGGCTGCCCCCGGGCTGGGATCAGCCTGGTCCCATCTGGGGAGGGCAGCAGGGTCCTCTGTGGTGGCGGACACCTCAGTCAGCCAAGCCCCGGCCTTCAAACTCCCTCCCTGCGATGGCCAGGCGGACGCACACACGCAAACAAAAACAAGAAATGTTTTAATTGTAAAACTAACTCAGGGGTACGGGGGGTAGGGCAGGGCTGTGCTGCCAGGGCAGGAACCTGATTTTTCAGGCAGTGGTTCTGCCCTGGGCCACCTTGTAGGCCAGGGGTTCCCTATCCCCTGGCGGGGGCAGGGCTAGTGTTATAAAATGACAATATAAATAGACTTCTAGAAAACGGGAGGCTGTCCGGGTGCAGTAGTCATTTGCTGCAGAGGCTGGGGGTGGGGAAAGCCCCAACCCGGCTCCCTCCAGCCACAGAAAGTGTGCAGGGCTCCAGGAAAAGGCCACTCAGACATTCATGAGCGACCCCGCACTGGCTCGAGGGCGGGGCTGCACGCCTGGCAAGCTCCCAGGGACACCCACCGGCGGGCTGAGCACAGAACAGCGCGGCTTTCAGTGCGCACGCGCACACGGGGAGCACACGCGCACCCCTTTCAGAGTGTTCCCTCCAGCCCTGTCGACCTGACCGCAGATTTCCAGTGATGGGTGGGGCGCACTCCTTCCTGGGGACAGAACATGGGAGGGCCTGTCCCAGGGAGGGGTCCCAGGGGCCTCACTCCTCCCACAAGTCTGTTTTTACAGTCACAAAATCAAAACTGGAGTTCAGTAGTAGGGACCCTAGCAGGCCCTGCAAGGAGGGTGGTGGTGCTGCACGGAGTGTCTTGTGGACTGGCAGGGGCGGCCCGGCCCCCTTTGGCATCCAGCAGGCAGGCGGCCAGGGCTCTTTGGTGCAAGGCCAGCGCGCTGGGCCTCATCTGGTGCGGTTCTGGCGCATGAGGGGCACGATGCTGGAGGGCGGCCCTGCCTTCGTCAGGAACGGATGCTTCAGCAGCTCGGCCGCCGTGGCACGCTGGGCCGGGTCTCGAACCAGCAAGCGGTCCAGGAAGCCCTTCAGAGATGGCGACACCTGCGGGGGTGGGGCTGGAGGTGAGGCCCACAGCACTGCGCTCACTTTCCTCCTGTCCAGGGGCAGCTATTGCCTTGGGAGGGGCAGAGAGGTCACTGGTGACTACAGCCTGCACCCAGGGCCCACTTCCTCCCTATTTTCACTGTCTGGCAAGGACCCTGCAGCCCTTTCCTTCGGCAAAGGCATCCCCAGGCAGCCCGGAGCCGGCCTCTGCCTCCAAACAGGCAGCTCTTTCTGCGACAGGCCAGGGAAGGATGTGGCTTGGCTGCATGCCTTCAGCCAGGCCAGCTGAGCCCCAGCCTTGGATGGAGAGGGCTCGGGGGGCCTGGGGGCTCCGCTGTCTCCGGGCTCTCCCCAGACAGGCTGTGTGCACACACAGGGCCTGGGGCAGGAAGCCTGGCAGCCCCCTGCCAGCGAGGACCCACCTTGTGCAGGTTCTTCAGTCGGGGTGGGAGGTTGTCCCGAATCATCTTCATGGCTTTGAGGGGTGGCTCATTGAAATAGGGAGGCTCCCCGTCCACCATCTCGATCACCATCACCCCCAGCGACCAGATGTCCACCTGGGGTGGAGGAAAGGATGGCAGGGCTGAGGGGGAACCAGTCCTCGGCAGTCCCAAGGGAGGGGCAGCCCCCCCTTCGGCCTTTGCTTCTTTCCTCCTAGAGTTCCTGGGCCCAGAACACCCTCTCGGATGTCCAAGGAGGTCCGGTGGGCCAGGCCTCATGTTCCAGGACCCCGTCCAGGGAGCCCTCGGAGGGGTGCTGCCCCCAGCACCCAGCCACTACTGTTTGCTGCCCACTCCCGGCCTTCCTCCGGGGAGCCCCTCCAGCCTCAGCTCCTGCAGGCGCTGGTGAGTCCCTGATCTGGCTGCCCAGCAGCAGGCAGAACTCAGATTCAGAAAGGGGCACACGACCCAAGCTGAGCCATTCAGAGCCGGTCCCAGACTGTCCAAAATGCTGGGCACGCAGTGCGGCTCACAGCAGCAAGTGTCCTCAGGGGCAGGGGTCCTCGCTGCCCCTCGCCTGAGAAACGCCACCAAAGACCGTAACGGGAAGGGGCACAGGGACAGCTGTCTGCAGCCTGTCCGCCCCAGAACGAGAGCTGCAGGGCCGACAGGCTTCACGTCTGTACTGGCGCCTGTCGCTCACAGGCGGCCCTCTCCCACCCCCACACAGCCCCCTTCCCAGTGCGACCCACTCAGCCCGAGGCGCCCTTCCCCTGGCCAGGCACTGGGTCAAGGCCAGTGGACTCCTCGGGGCCATGCAGGGAGCCACAGTGAGGGAAACAGGCAGAGTGGGCAACTGGGACAGGTGGGCAGTCCCTCTGTACCCGCTTCACTGCCACGAGTGCATGCAGCCTCCACGGGGCCAGATGCGGCTTTTCAACAGAAGAGCTGGACATTCACATGCAAGCTCATGTAAAAATGTCTGCAAGGGCATCTGCAGGCCGGCTTAGTCAGAAGCCTCCGGTTTGTGGCCTGGGCACCACGCTGCCAGGCAGAGCCCATGGCCACTTCTGCGCCTACTGCAAGCACTGGCCCGGCTCAGGACTAGTGTTCAATCAATCACGACGCACTGACGGACCCACGCACACACGCACTTACCCCATCTCCTCCCCCACGAAGCCCCATCCTTGCAAACCATCCCCCCCACCGCTGCCTCCTGTACTGCGGCTCTCTCCCAGCCAGGCCACACTGGGCTCACCTCTGGCCCGTAGGGAAGGCGGGAGATGAGCTCTGGGGCCATCCAGTAGGGCGTGCCTACCAGGGACTTCCTCCGTGGCACTTCTTTGCTCACCTGGGCACAGAACCCAAAGTCGGACAGCTTCACCTGGGGCAGGGCAGAGGGGGCAGTGTCAGAGGTGTGGCCGGGGAAGGGCACGCAGGCGCCGTTCTGTTTAGTCCCTGGCTCCACCGTGAAGCCCAGAGGCAAGAGCTGGGCTCTGGAGACTGATCACTGAGTGGCTCTGCCCGCTCCTGGCAGGGGACCTGAGGGTCTCCCATCTGCTGGCCTGACAGAGTGTAGGCACCAGGTGCCCCGGGGCTCTTGGGGAAATGGCTGAGTCCTGCAGATTCCAAAGGCTGGGTGGGGACGGAGGCCAGGCTCTGAGAGCCAGCATCCTGGCCCTTCTCTGGAAGGAGCAGGTGCTCGGTGCAGAGGCTGGAGAGGAACACAGCTCGGCCCTACGGAGTGTGCACGCGCATGCATTTGTGTGTCACACACGCACAGCCTGCCTCTGCAACAAGCAGCTTCCCAGAACCAAGGATTTACACCTTCTTCGGGAGCCGTGGGCCCGTTCAGACTCCTGAGGACATCTATGATCTACTCGCCCCCAGAACACACGCCCACACGGTGCGTGCAGTTTCAGGAGGCTCACAGATGTTCCGTGGAGACATCTGCAGACAGCCTCGGCTCTCGTCCTCTTGGTGGAGACGCGTGCTCTCTGCCCCCGCTGATGGGGTTGGACCTTCCTTGGGGGAGTGGTGAAGCCACCAACTTTGCCAGAATGCAGTGGCCCTAAGGGCCTCTCCCACAGAACATCTCCCTGGGCTACAAATGCAGAAGCTCAGTCCAAAACAAGGCAGGCAAGCCCAGGGCCCACAGCCCATCCCGCGCTTGCAGGGAGTCGTCAGCAGACAGAGAAGCACGTGGTGGAGCTGCGGCTGTTGCGGGGCCCAAGCGTGTCCCTCCAGCTCCAGCGCTAGGCTACAGTTGTTAATCCTGTGCTGACTGGTACCCACCAACCTGGCCCCCGGATTCTGGACTCTTCTATGAGAGACACATCTGCCCACTGCCCCTTGGTCACTGGGCAGCAGAGGGCACCGAGGGGGGCAGCCCCTGGCCACCGCCTTCTCACCCTGCCATCGTGGGTCAGCAGGATCGAGTCACTCTTGATGTCCCGGTGGATGACGCCTTGGGCATGGAGCACAGACAGGGCCTGCAGCACAGCCAGGCACACGGCAGCGATCTGCTCCTCATTCATCCTACGAGCAGAGGGCCAATGGGCAGACAGGGCCAGGCCCAGATCTTAGAAGGACCAGCCCTGCCTTGGGTTAGGGTGGGGGACTTGAGCAGACAGACCCTACCCTGGGGAGCCAAGAGGGGACCCAGGCCCACCAGGACAGGAACCTAAGACACACTCTTATCCTGGGGCCCAGCAGCGCTGCTGGCTCAGGGGAGACAAGCCCTGCCCAACCCTCTGGAGGGAACTCAGCCCCATCACGGCAGAGGTCGAAGGGAGCTGGGAGCCAGCAGGGGCCCCGCCCCGCCAGTACCTGGTGTGAGTGACGATGTCAGTGAGGGCACCGCCCTCCAGGAACTCCATCACCACCCAGAGCTCGTCCCCCACCAGGTAGCTGTTGTACATCTCCACCACATTCTCGTGCTGGTAGTCCCGCATGATCACCACCTGCCAGGGCGGGAGCACCACCTTGGCCTTCAGACCCGGCCGCTACCACCTCCCACTACCTCTTCAGCCCGGCCAGCTCATCCAGAGGCTAGATCCCACGGACAAGGCCAAGTGGCCTTCAAAGCCAGCCTGAAGCCCAGTGCCTCCACCCTAGGGGTGCACCCTCACCCCGACACCATGCTAACTCCTGGCCCGTCCTGGGCTGGTCTCAGTGGCCCTGACCAGAGGCTGCGCTGGGACAGGAGGGTGGAGGGCTGGGTACAGCGCTGAGATGAGAAGGACAAGCAGGCACGGAATGCATGCCAGGGAGGATGGTGAACTTCAGCCACAGTCGGGGCCAGGGCGGCGGGGGAGCCTTGTGCTAGAGGGGACAGTACTACTGCCCCTCGGGGCAGCTGGCGCAGGGGAATGTGGGTGGGAGCTGGCTATGGGGCAGTGGAGAAAGTGCTGGAGAGGGACGGGCAGGAGCACTCGGGTGGCCTCCAGGCCTGGCCTCCCCGGGTGCTCCTGTACCAGACGAGAGGAGCATCCCTCAGGCCCAGACTCCTCTCCGGACCCTT